CTAGGTTAGTTGTGTTTTGTTGCTAGGTTAGTTGTCTGATGCTGCTAAGTTAGTTGTGTTTTGTTGCTAGGTTAGTTGTCTGATGTTGCTAAGTTAGTTGTATTTTTAGTTAGGTTAGTTGTGTTTTGTTGCTAGGTTAGTTGTCTGATGCTGCTAAGTTAGTTGTGTTTTGTTGCTAGGTTAGTTTGTCTGATGTTGCTAAGTTAGTTGTATTTTTTTTTTATAAACAAATTGTAACTCATAGGATTTGAACCTGGTACCTCATGGAGGCAAGACAAGCAATGCAACCACTACACCACTCAAGGTTGAGTGTCTTTTGTTGCTAGGTTATTTATTTCAATACAACGGGTCAACGCTGGAAGTCAACGGTCAACGCCGGAAGTCAACGATTCTCGCCGAAAGTCAACGCCGGAGTCAACGGTCAACTATTTTATTATTTAATTAATGTATATTTTAATTGATTTTGATCTAGACAAAATGAGTGGCTAAGATTGAGTCTCAGGTACTCATTTTAAGGAGTGGTCTCATTGGATCCATCCCCTATATATATATATAAAGTGAAAAGTTTATGATAAACTAACGAAGTAACTTTTTTTTTCTATTTTTACATATGTTTGAAATATTTATGCTAATATTACAAAAATAACTATATGCAACAATTGAACCATCAAATAATCAATAAACAAATAAAAATTACATGAAAGAATATTTATATTTTCTATATCTAAATATATATATATATATATATAATTACTGGTTGATGCATTTAATAAAACATTTAATAAAACATTTTTTCATTTCCCTCCAAAGGGAGTTACATTTTTTTAATTAATTACTCACTAATATGCTAAAACAGTATTATTTATTTTTTGGATTAGTTACTAAATTAATTCTAAATTTGGTAGAAAAATATTCAGATGTGTAACGGCTAATGTTGGAACTTAAAGTTGATTGACACATTCAGAGCTACTATATTTGGTTGCATTGTTAGAAGAAAAATATGATTGACACATTTTTTTTTTCTAAAAATTAGAAACACCAATAATTTTTTTTTTATTTATGTTAATTTTCTTAATATATGCCACAAATATATAAATTATTTTATTCATGTTACTAATGAAAACGTTGCATAGTTAAAATAAAATTTAAATCTCAATTAATTTTGAATGATAAAAATAACTTAAGAAAAAGTAATAATTTTTATATGATAGAAGTACATGTCTAATTAATAAATACAAACAAAAATGTGTTTTTATTTCTGCAAATACACAAGAACAAATACTAGTATATATAATTGCTAGCTAAACATTAAATTTTACCTCATAAATTTTACTTATGTGGCAACTTTCCTAACACAATAACCGTTACAATCTATTATTATTATTATTATTATTATTATTATTATTATTATTATTATTATTATTATTATTATTATTATTTTATAAACTCATCCTATCCCATTAATGATAACATATTCTCTTGCACTTTTTTTGGGTTAATATAGACAAAATCGGTTACATTTTATATTAATTGAGCAATAATTATATCTTTTACTATATGATATAATAGTTATTACTAAAATTAATAATTATATTTTAGACTAATGATTAGAAAGTTACATAAAAGCTCTCTTGCTTAGCCACAAACATCTCACTTAGAGACATATGAGATTGGAAGTCTCTACCCACAGCTAGCGGTCGACGTTCACCGGAATACCTCTCTTCTTAGCAGTCATAAAAGGTCGCCACTAAATTGGAAAAGGGACAACCGCATTAAAAAAAAAAATTATATTGTAAAAATTTTTTGTTCAAGTTATATATTCTAAAATCAATATTATTTTTTTATTTGATTAATAAATTATTTTTAAATAAATTAATTTGTATTAATATCATAGTAAAATTACTTAAAATCACATAAGCAATTGTTATAATCAATTTAATATTTTTCAGCTAATTTGAAAAAAGAGATCTCCCCCAAATCCGACGAAACCCTATCTCCCAAATCCGGTCGGCCTTCATCTTCTCTTGCTCGCCTCTCCCGACGACGGCAACACCACGGCCAGGGGTCGTCCTTGACCGCCTGGCCCTATCCTGGTAAGCGTGGCTCCTTTTCTGCCTCGGATGCTCCGCGGTGGGGGGCCGATCGATTGGCGGCAGAGGTGGCTGCGGTTGGCGGCGGCGGCCTTCTGGTTCGGCGACTCACCGGTGGTTCGTGTCTCCCTCTCAATCGCCGGCGGGAGCAGCTCTACGAAGGTATGTCCGGTCAATTTCGCCCTTTCAACTGCTGATTGTGTTGTGCTTCTCCGACGGGCTTGCCGGCTCCGGTGGGGCTGGGGCTCTGGTTGTCGGAGATCTGCGGTGGAATGGAGTGGCGCTCGTACTGAGGGGTGGGTTGGGGCCCCGGCTGCTGCGGCCTGGCTGTCGTGGTGGTTGGGGTTAAGGGTGCGACTTTCCTTTGCGCGAGCCCGTCTGTCTAGTGGTGTTAGGAGGCGGGGGACCAGGTTCTTTCGAGCTTATCGAGCTCGGGTGGGGCCGGCGTGGAGGTCGGTTGCGGCTCTTTCGGTTGACGATGGGTCGATTCTAGGATAGGTTCGGTGCTCGGGTTCTTCTACTGTATAGGCCGTATGCAGTTTCGGTAGAGGTTTCTCGGGTTGAGTTCCTTCTTATGTCGATCGTCCACTGCTGGTCGGGATTGTTTGCTCGAAGGGGGAGGGCTCTGTTGGTTTTGTTTTCTTTAGGTTGTTTTTCTTGTTTGTTTGTGTTTGTTTTGTCTGTGTCAATTTAGCGTTTGTATCTGTGTTTTAGGTTTGGGCCGTTGGCCCCTGTAAACCTGAGTGTCATTTTCATTACTCTGTTGGAGTCCGACACTCGGGAATAGCCCTGATGAGGCCTTTGTGTTGTTAGTTAGTGTTTTTGTTTTTTTGTAGTGTTCTTGAGTATGATCCCTCAAAATTACAAAAATTACATTATTTATTACATTTTATGCAACCAATATAGTGATTCATATGCAACTAAATCGTTATGTACTATTTGTTTTAACCAATGACCAAATTTTTAAAACATAATACCATTAGCTAATTAATAATTTGAATATTATATGCATAAATATAACTTACAATACTTTATGTTTAAAATATAATACCATAATATAACTTATAATTTTAACATTATATACATACAAATAACTTATATTATTTTAATTACGTCTGTGCAAATGGCCAAATGCACATGATCACACACTACTTAATTTATACTAGTGCGGTACCCGTGCGATGCACGAGCTAGTTTTATTAAGGTAATCATTTAGATTTGGATGATTGGATGATTGGAAGAACGTAAAACGCATGTATTGGAATAAAACAAATTGTAACTTATATATTATTAAACACATCATTGTACACAATATTATTTGTTTGGTGGGTAAATAATAATTTGCAACCTGTACTATACGCGAATTTGGGATTTGCAACCTAAAGAATTTTTTGTACTAAATTGCAACCTTTAATACACGATTTGTCTATATCGCAACCTCCAGCCATCGGAAGTTAATTTTTCACCGGAAAAGCAAGCGTGCGACACACACGTGCCAAATTTGAGGGCAAAATGTCATTTCATCTCTCTTCATCCTTATTCTTTCATCCTCTCTCTCTCTCTCTCTCTCACACTCTCACACACATTCAAATCAAAATTTGAATTCCACAGCGAGATAATAGGATTCGTCAATCGGGAGGCCCATGTAGTCACATAGAGGCCCGTGAAATTTGCGCCTTTTGATGTGATAAGAAACACAAACATCACGGCGAAAGAGAAAAGGCACGAAATAGAGGCGGTGGAGCCAGCGGGAAAAACGGAGGCAGCGGGAGGAAGGTGAAGTTCTTCTTCTTTGACAGGGCTATGGAGGCGGCGTTCAAGAAAGCGACGCCGTAAAGAGTGATGCTGCTGGACCTCTCCACCGAACTCCGCCACAAAGGAAAATATCCACGCCGTAACCTGCTTAAGCGAGGAAGAAGATCCACGCCGTACTCTGCAGCTTCCCCAGAACCTCAAAAATATGGGGGCTGCGAGGATGAAGATGAACAGAGCAAAGAGAAATTTCGAACACATCTTGGAAATTTCGATTGCTTTCTTCTACAGATCTGAGCCAATAATTTCGATAAATGATGTATAGAGCAAAGAGAAATTTCGAATTTGGGGTTATTGCCCAAATTAAAGCCCAATTCTACAGATTTGAGCAAAGAGAAATTTCGATTGGCAATAACCTTGTTTCATCCTTCTATAGATCTGAGCCAAAAATTTCGACAAATTGCTTTTTATTATACATATAAAAAGCCCAAATTCGCGTATAAGGATGAAGAGATATGATATTTTTGCCCTCAAATTTGGCACGTGTATGTCGCACGCTTGCTTTTCCGGTGAAAAATGAACTTCCGATGGCCGGAGGTTGCGATATAGACAAATCGTGTATTAAAGGTTGCAATTTAGTACAAAAAATTCTTTAGGTTGCAAATCCCAAATTCGCGTATAGTACAAGTTGCAAATTATTATTTACCCTTGTTTGGACTTTTGGTACATCGACTATCACCACAAATTATATTAAGACTCTAGATAGGCTTAAATAAATCGATTAAATTACATAACAGGATATATATATGATATGATTTATACTGCTTTTATGAAGATTGCATAGCCAAATATAACGGAGATTGTAAAACGTCTTTTTTTATAATCTATAACCTTATTATTTTAAAATTGTAAATTTCTTAATTTAAGAAAGGGAAAAATTGTGTAAGTGTATGCAATTAATTTCAAATTTGTATTCTAGAGGATTAAACAAAACCTAAATTTTTAGGATGTTCCAATCCGATTTATTTTGAATTTCAAATTAATATTATCTGACTTTGTTCTATGTTTAAAAAAAATCCGAAGAAAGTAGTAGCCAAATGATAAGGGATTTTTAAATTTTAATTTTTAATTTGAAATTGAGCCCGATTTCTATGCAATCCGATTTTTTTTTAATAAACATGATCTTTTGCAATTAGGTAAAAATACATGTTATAGTATTTTGCCTAATTCAAAATTCCCAATTTTATGGTAAACATATTTTTTTTTAATAAAACATGAGAGAATTTTGACTTTTATAAAATTGTCATCCCGAATTTTACCTAAATTAACTCGATTTTTATGCAATCCGACTTTTTTAATAAACAATTGACTTGTTGCAATTAGGAAAAGATATATGTGATAGTATTTTGCCTAATTCGAAATTCTCGATTTTATGGTAATCAGTTTTTTTTTAATAAAAAATGAGAAAGAATTTTGACTTTTGCAAAATTGTTAGCATCAGTCGAAATTTACCTAAATTAAATCCACAAAAACCATGAATTTAGGGTGCATATATAACTTATCGATATTTTGGGAATAACTAGTGCGTACCCCGTGCGATGCACGAAACAGAGATATTAAATGAGTTATTTTCACAGCCTTGTCCGTTTAATGTCTGAAAAATAATAGGGCTATTATCGATTTTCTACCTCTTTTAAATGAGTTATTTTCACAGCCTTGTCCGTTTAAGTCTAAAAAATAATATGGTTATTATCTATTTTCTACCTCTTTTAATCAACATTAAGTCTAAAAAACAACATAATTATTATAAGTTTTTTTCTACATCTTTTAAACAGCGTTTATTTTTAGCCAGAACATTAAATATGAGAATGTTAGAGTTAGCTTATAAAATAATTGATATATTATCTCACTAAAACATTTATACTAATAAAAATTTAATTTTAGCATATAAATTTATCCCTTAATATAAGAGAAAGTAACAATTTTACTTATTGTTGTTCTCCATATAATATTTAATTATCATTTTATTATATAATAAAAAGGAATACTGTTAAATAGTGTAGTAGAATTGTTATACAATTAGATGAATTTTTTTTTCTTACAATATGAATTTAATATATTTTTATGATTTAACAATATAAACAAATCTATACTTACCTTTGACTTTTCCAGCAAAGGTAAAAAAATCGGCTCTGGTTTTTATCCCATAACAAATCTTTAATGTCAAGCCTATAAATACCAAAACAAATCTGTAATTAATTTCATTCTATTTCCAACCAGCATTAATTACCTTTAATTTTTCTGCCTAATATTTCTAGTAAAAATGATGCATTTTTATATAAGTATAGATAGATTTCAAAAGAAAAATTAAAAACTGCCAAAATTAGAATGCAATAAATACTGATTGACTTTTCTTGTTACTATATTTGTAAATAAGTTGACTCTTTATATATATATATATATATATATATATATAGATAGATTACAAACATTTGGATCTAAACTTAAAAATGTAATAAGGTAATTAATTAGTAAAACGTGAATTTTACAAATTGACCGCCTAGCTGTAAGTGTAAGGTTTTATTAGACGGTGCGCAGGCGTGCTTTGTTACAGGTAAAAATTCAACAATTATCATACCCTTACCTACCCTACGACTTCACATCATCTCTGTATCTATATATACTCGCAATCCATCAATGATAAAAACAATGCTACATCACATTTCACATTTTCAAACCCTGCTCATTACAAACCCTCAAATTCTAACAATAGCATTTGAACTTGGTTTTCAACTGCATACTACATACTTCTTGTTCTTTAACCACCGCCATTTCCAATCCATATATAGAATTTCAAGATTCCCCTTCTTTTCAAACCATTCTTGCGCAGCCCAGGTAAAAGAACCAAAAAAAGAAAAAAAAAATCAAAATTTCTCGTTCTCCTTTCCCATCTTTTAATAATGTTTTCTTAAATCTTGATTTCTATGAAAACGTGTTTATGTTGTGAAAAAATAAATAATCTTGGATTGCTAGGTAATGCATCACCACTATTTAATAGTTTGTTTATGGATGAAATTTTGGTATTGTTTAATTTGTTTAGCTGTTTTATTTAGTATTCTGTTTCACCAATATTATTTATTTGACCTGGTTAGTTGCATTAAATTTTAGTATATGGTGATGCATCTGTGATTCATACGCGTAGACTAAGTTTTATATAAATCCAGTTAGTAAGTATTATTATTATTATTGAATTAATTCTGAATATGTAAATCATATCATACGCGTGGATTATTATTATTATAATATTTAATTAACAATTTCAAATCCTGTGTGTCACAGACTGTACTAATTTTGTCCCCATTTGAGGAAAAAAAATTGCATGGGGGCATCTTGCTCCTGCCCGTTTGCTTTCTACCTCGATCTCGAAAATGGTTTAGAAGCCGTCCTTAAATCCATGGACGAGCCCACCACAAAATCACTCGAAGCCTTTGTGAGGTTGGGTACAAAAGATGAGGCCAGGCCCATGATGGAATTTGACGCGTTTATGGGCCCATCGAATATGGGCCCGAAGAGCCCAAAGAACGAGGCCGCCGTTAAGCTCCAGAAAGTTTACAAGAGCTTTCGGACGAGAAGAAAGCTGGCCGATTGTGCGGTCCTGATTGAGCAGAGCTGGTGGAAGCTTCTGGATTTTGCAGAACTTAAACATAGTTCAATCTCGTTTTTCCATGTTCAAAAGCACGAGACGGCTGTTTCCAGGTGGTCCAGAGCAAGAACAAGGGCTGCCAAGGTAAATTAATTATAATTTTTTTTTTTTTTTTTTT